TGCCAAGGCACACATAGTGGTTTTCAGCTTTCCAGGGGCAAGGGGGGGCTGGTGTTGCATCTTGGCCAATCTCTTCTGGAGCATGCGCGAAAGCACAATAAAGACCTGTTCAAGATCTCCAAATCTTTTCTGGTGCCACATCTGTTATCCTGCCATTAACGTACTTTTCTATTCTTTTCATCTCTCTCCCTCTCTCTCTCTCTGTCTGATCGTCTGTCTTTCTTTCTTTTATACTTGTTATTTATTTAATAATATTTGCCCTTTGTTCCTAATAGCTTCTTGCTCCTAGTAGCTTCTTTTCATCTCTCTCTCTCTCTCTCGGTATGTGGCCCTCAACCCTGGCCACCTGGCCTTTGTGGCAGGTTCCAGCGAGGAAAAACTTGCACATCCTTGGAGAAGGGAATGGGAGACCGAACTGACTGGCATTTTTCACACAAGAAGCAATCAACAAGTACACGAGATCGAACCGACTTACATTTCCAAGTCACGAGATCTTCTTCAGAACCTTTGGCCCGGCACTTTTGGCGGGAACCGCAGGTGCTCCCCCCCAGCGCTGGTAAAGCACCACTGCTGGGCGAAGCTCCAGCAACTCCTACCGGGAAGCGTTCCTTGTTTTTGCAAAATGATTTCATCTGCTCATGCTGTTGTTATTGGCAGTTTGGGCCTTGTGCACCCACTGAAAAAATCGCACGAGGTACCGTGAAGGAACGTTTGACCTTCAAGCCTTTCATCTGCAAACACCTGCCAGCTCCTGGCAAACCAGCTAGGGCTGCATCCACCCCTGGCAGCGCAGCCGTCAGACCCGCTAGGCCAGTGGCTGGTAGCCCTGCAGCTCCAGCGATCCCGGGCATCGTCGGCATTGGGAAACCTGGCACTCCAAGCCCAGGAAGGGCTGCTAGCTGTTGGAGCTGCATCTGCTGCATGGCAGCCGCTTGCATCAAAAGGTCCATAGACGTCATCCTGGCAACGAACTCACCTTCATTAGTGTGGAAGTGCAGCACGGTGGTTGAAGCATGCTTGACCTGTCATGTGCCACCAAGATGCTGAAGCAAAAGCGCCGCCAGAAATGGCGACCGAAGGTGGACCAATACATGTGGTCTTGAGCCACGTCTCACAAGGTATGCTTTACACTTTGCCGAGCTGGTGTGTCTGGAGTCCTGTTCCAGTGACATGTCAGCGCTGCTCAAGCTAGCATAAACCAGCGACAGGCAATAAACGAACACCAAGACATGAACAAATATGGCTCTGAAGTCTAGGGAACTGAGGGGCATGCAGTCTGGCTGCAAGCACTCAGAAGTTCTCCTGGAGCTGGTACCTACAGTATGAGGGTAGAGAGAACGAAAAGTGCCAAGAAAGACTGATACTCTTCAAGCTCTCAACAGTCTTAAACCAACACGGAGTCTGAGGTGTTTCCGTTGCCCAATCAGCAAACTGCTTTACAAGCCTCACCTTTGGTGAGCCTTTCGATTGAAGGCGAACCCACTAAGCGAGCTAGGCCAAGCAAAATCACTCAACTGTCCTCCTTAGGAGGGCAAACAGGAAAAGATCCCTCGTCCTTCGATTTGGATGTGCCCCTCCCTATAGCCTAAAGCCCTAAACGAATCTAAGCGATTAAATCTGCAGCATGCAGGCGAATTGCCAAGCCATCTCACAACCAAACTCTGCTGTCTTCGAGGTTGGCCTGTGACAAACATCTGGGTTCAGTTGGAGATGAAAAATGCACTCTCCCGTAGCTCAACCGAAGCAATTCCTTTTTCCCGCTCAGATCTCATCTTCACATCTCGCATCCAATGGGAGGCTACGTCACCTGCAAAAGAACAACTCCATGAGAGTGAAGAGGTAAAGCACGACTGCAGTGCACCTCTGACCTCTTGATGGCTTCATCGACTCAGCCAGCTTGTGGTCATCCTTTCAGGGAAGAAACGCTCTCCCTGCACAGCGCAGCGCACAACCCATTTTCTGAGACGTACTTCAATTTAAATGTCTTTGTTCCAACATATGTTGTATCGAACGCACTTTTTCTCTAATCCATGCATCCTTGCACTTTGAGATTTTGCATTGTTTGGCTTTTGGTCGTTGGTTGTGATGACTTTTGCTGGCTGTGAGGATAAAGACTCGTCGCTGCTCCTTCGAAACCTTGGACATGCAGATCTCGGTCCCAAACGATGCATTGATCGAGCTGTGCACCTGTTCAATGTCACCATCCCCTCCAAAAAACCGTGCCTTATCGTGCCTTCATAGCGGGCCCCGCCACAATTTCTCGAGAGATCAAACCGACTTGGACAAACTTGGAACTCTTCGATGCTTCATGGTTTCAATCAACGCCGGCAAACCCTGAAAATTGAAGAAGTATCTTGGGCTGACCTACTTACGTCATGCTCTTTGGCTTTCATGTGGCACTGTGCCCCCAGTATTCCGAACGCAAAAAAAAAATACACACTCGGTGCGCTGCCACGATGGTCAAACAAAACTCTGGTCAATTTGGCTGCCTCACCCTCAGGCATCAAATCTTCTCGTATGCCGCAGCCTTGGGACAGCAAAAATCTTGCAACTGTCACCAAACCTTTTAAACATTTTGCGCTTGGAATAGGTGTTTGTATTCGGGCAGCGCTTGCAACACCGCTTTTGTTCTCCGAAAATTTACGTGGACGGACCACGGCAGCACCAACTAGGTGATAACTTTGAGAAAGCACAAGTTGGGCGCCGGCTAAATCTCAGTTGAATGGTGGTGCCTGTTGGAAAACAATTTGTGCACCATTGCCGAAAGTTCAATTTGCATCTGTTCTTGCGACTTGGCCACATCCACCAGCTGAGTCCTCACCTTGTTCACCTGGTGCTTCAATGCGCAAACATCTACGGACTTAGCAGATCCGCGGTTTCGAATGCAGCTATCGACAAATTCATCCACACCAATAAAGTGATCCCCATCTGAGTCTAATATTTGGAACAGTGTCCAGGCATCTTCGGCACCGAGTTCCAAAGCTTCAAACACAGCTCGCAAAGATTCTTGTTCGAACCTTGCTTCGAACTCCAACAATGTGATCCTGCCAGTGCCGTCGTCGTCCACTTGCTTGAACAACTCCAGCAGCTTCTTCTTGATGGATTCTCTTTCATGAAGCAGCGCTTGCACCATGAGGTCTTGATCTTTTTCGGCGCCACTTATTGCGCTGTGACAGAACACCCCAGTCATGACCTCTTTGCGTGTGTGTTGTATGCAAAATAGATCAACATAGTGCAATTGCTTTAAGATCTTACCTTGTAAACAATGCGGCGCCCCGGTATAGACTTCGGAGCAGATCGGAACAAGTTCCGGAGCAGGTTCCGGAGCAAGGTTCCAGACAAAGGGCTTGGAGGAAGGTTCTGGAGAAAGGCTTGGGGAGGGGCGAGACGACCAAATGACCAGTGCGGTGATGTTGGTTGGTTTCCTGGAAGTCTTTGGAGTGGAGCCCGCCGTGAAAAGGTAGGCTATGCATCAGCATGAGGCTTGATGGTTTGTGACATGTTCTTTAAGAACATGCAACATGCTTCTAGCTGTTGGATAGTCCCGAGTACTTATTAAAAAACGGACCCCTATTAGAAAACAGTCATGTCGGAAACCCTCAAATACGGTTTATATTTGTTTTTAAATTGCCGCCCTTTCAAGCCGCCACTAAACTACCAACATTGCCGATTTTGGTGGAGTTCTTTTGAGCATTAGGTTCCAAAAAAACAGCCTCTTGACCTAGTAGTAGCAGCAGCGGCGGTAGTAGTAGTAGTAGTAGCAGGAGGTAGTAGTAGTAGTAGTGGTAGTAGTAGCAGTAGTAGTAGTTAGTAGTAGTAGTTAGTAGTAGTTAGTAGTAGTAGTAGTAGTAGTAGTAGTCGTAGTAGTTAGTAGTAGT